GCATAACTAAAAGAACTTTCTGCAGAAAAACTTCATCAGTCGACGATTTCTATAAACAATACTATTTTTTAGTATCATGAGAAAATCTTGTAGAAATAAAAATATTACCTTATTTTGGTAATAAGTGAAAATACCGAGAATTACTATATAACCAGTGTTGTTGATTTGGAAAAGTTATAAAAAATACTGACATAATGTAGGATAAGTAAAAAAAAATATAGGAATGTCAGATATTTTGTTTTTTACAAATTCATTATTTTTTGATTGTTTTACTATATTGGTGCGAATTTTCATTTTTTCAAAAACTGATCTTCGAGATTCAGAATAGTCAAATTCTATTGTCTATTGGCAATGCAATTTCTCATTGATTTTTTATGAAAGAAATACATGCAGGTTTACCCGGTCAAATAAAAATAATTATAACATTTCAGGCTAACTGGTAGTACCAGAAACTAGTATCACGATCAGTATATGATTCAAATGTACCAAATTAAAGAAATTGCTTTACAATCGAAAGATATATTCAATTATTCCCAATCATTTTGACGTTCATTGTATCTCAATACCTCAAGTAGCCTTCTGAAGGGAATGATTATTTTAGTTTTTATGCATATCTTCTTAAATTAATTTTATTAAAACCTAAAATGCATTAAGAGTAAGATTTTTAAAAGAATAATTGAACAATGGGAATAGAATTGTATTTTTGGCAACATTTTTATCCTCACCATATTGTATTAATGTACCAAAATTCATTTTTTATACAGTAGTTACAATTGATAGTTTACACTAGTTTAAAATTTGACACAGAGGATAAAGAGTAAAATATTGCTGTCACATGAAAACTGGTTCAGCAATATTAAAGTAATAACGATGAGATTGGAACCTTTGGTGTGAAAGTTGAATAACTTTTTTGGAGATCAATTGCCCTAACATCAAACTGATATTTTTGCACTCGACGCAATTTTCTTCTCCTGAGGATGCTAACTTTGTTGGCGAAACGCGCGTCGAGTGCAAAAATATCAGTTTGGTGTTAGGGCAATTGATCTCGAAAAAAGTTATTCAATATTAAATTAGTTTGTGATTGGTCATAATTGAAATTTTTGATTTATGAAAAATATTTCAGAAACTATAAATATAGTGAAGCAGTTTCGGACAAATCAACTAAACGGTGTTTTTATGATACTTTTTCCAACAATTCAGATCAAATATACTGAAAATTAGTTTTTACTACTGACAAACATTAGACCTGATTGCTAATATGTCTGAAAATAATCATCAGCTGTTATAGTTTCGAAAGAAAGGCTTTCACGTTTTTGGAATTGAAGAAGATTGAAACTTTGGGAGGATAGTTCTTCCTGAAATCTCCAGTTCATATCATCTTACTATTGATTTGATTTATTATATTCAATTCGTCCGGTATATAAAGATTACTTATATACTTATACAGTATAATTCATATATAAAGACTCCGCTTATAACGACTATCCGTTTACAGACGATAATGTTAACTCAAGGTTAGTTTCATGTACACATGACTACCACAAAATTAATCCGTTTTGTGCGTTGTCCGGTTAGTCCGACATAGTATATCCGGTCCCTTGAAGGTCGTTATATCCGCATTCTACTGTATACATTCTACTGGGGAAAAAGCTTCTTTTTCTTTTATTGTTTTTGATTTTCTTCTTATTTCCCAAAATCTAATTTCTCCTGCAAACACATACCCCTTCCTTATATGTTTGATTTTTTTAGGTGAGTCAAGCTAATAAATTGCATCTTTTTATTCTTCAAATATTTATTAATGATTCCAGATATCTTTTGAAATCCCAAACGGTTTCGGATCTCTTCGGACCCTTTAAGGCGATGAATGTTCTGTGCTCTGTATTCATGAAGGTCACCGCGGAGTGGGAAAAGACCGGCGCCAAGGAGTATTTTTTGAAGGAAATCATCGAAGCGTTGCGATACTTTTCTGGCTTCAACAACAGTTACAATATTTTTTCCAATACGAAGAACATCGAAGGAGAAAATTGCTCAACGTTTCTGACAAAAGTTTTGCTTCTGTCGCCAAAACATACAGTGGAAATTGTTCGAAACTTTTTGGGCTCTACAAATGAGCGTGAACTGCCGATTCGGGGAATATTAGATATTCTCAACAATAAATTGTCGACTTCAGATTTGAGAAGTAAGTGAATGAACATTTTTCTCTTAAGTAGAATTTCAGATCGTTACTGAATCCAATTTAATTTTAAATAATGGACTGAAAATATCACTACTATACATTTTTTTAAATTATTGTTTACAAAACTGTTGTTCGTTCAAAATGACACAAGCACTAGGGCTCCTGAGTTTTCCATCTAGAATTACGTTGTTTTCACTCAGATTCGCCAATTAATCAATTTCATTGGTAATAATACACATCATGCTTT